GTAGTTGATATTGAGCTTTTGAAATGCCAAGTGTTCTTCATCAGTCGCCGTCCGTAGTTGAACTGCGGGAGTGAGCGGGGTCTTCACTGGTCGGCAATCGCCTAAGTCCAGCAACTCGAGTCCTTTCTCAATCAGCGCAGGTTGAGAAAGCTCAATAAGGTCGGGTTGAACCTGTAAATTCATCCCGAGCAGAGTGTCGGGAGAGTGAGCGGAAGAATTGGGAAAACGATTCAGGAAGAGTTTTTCGAAAACGTCTACTTGTCCGACTACAATTAGATCATCGACATGGAAAAATATGAATGAGTCTTTGTTTTTGTGTATGAAAAGACAAGCATCCGAGACCGATGGGTTGTAATCAATTTCTTGGAACCAGGCCGTCAGTGTTTCGTACCTGTTTTTTGGTGCTTGTTTGAGACCGTAGAGGGACTTGACGAGTTTGAGGTAGGGGGCAGTTCTTTTTGAGCCTTCAGGAGTTTTGATGTAAATTTCCTCTTCCAACGGAGCGAAGAGGAAGGCACTCTTTACATCAAACTGTTTGATTGGGAGTTGCAGGTCGATTGCAAGGACGAGTAGAGTGAGTAGTGATGGAAATTTGCCGGTTGGAGCAAAGGTCTCGAAGAAGTCTTCTCCGTAGGTTTGTAGAAACCCCTGAATGCATAATCGAGCTTTCTGTTTCTCAGCAGCAGAAGCAGTCGCCGGTTTAGTTTTGAAAACCCAAGTAGAGTGAATGAGTTTGTCGGGTCTCTTATATTCATCAAGCCAGACTTTGTGGTTTTCGATGTTGTCTAATTCTTCATCGATAGCTTTAGTCCACCCCTCAGCCTCTGGGCATGATACAGCCATCTTGTAAGAGGATGGATCTTGCGAGAGATGAGAATATTTGAGAGGTTTGACTTGAGCGGTCCGTTCTCTGAGTATTCTTCCTATTGGTTCATTTGCCTTAGGAATAAGAGATTCAGCGATTCTGGAATCATCCGCCTCAGAGTCCGAATTGGATCCCAGCGAAAGATCTGGATCGTCTGCGATCAGATAATCTTCTTCTTCCTCTTTGATAGCAGTATCCTCTTCTTGATTTTCATGTAGAACAGTCTGAATGGGACTTTCGATTGGTTTCTCAATCTTTTCTTCGATGATAGACCAGTCGCTTTTGGAAGGTACTTCTTCAGAGGAGCGAAATTCAAGGAATGTTACACTTTTTGAATTGATTATAATACCGTCGTCAGTCAGGATCCTGTAGGATTTGAGTTCCGGGTTGAAACCGACCAGTCTACCGGTTTCTCCACGCGGGTCAAGCTTTGGTTTCTTCTTGTGGGCTGAAAGAACGGACACAGGATTGCCAATAGGATGAAAGAAGTCAAGAGAGATTGAGCAGCCCTTGAAGAGCTCATAGGGTGATTGCTTGCTACGGTGAGTTGGCACTTGATTCAAAGTCAGGGTTGAAGCGCTCAGTACTTCGTTCCAAAGATTTTGACGCAGTCCTGAGTCTAGGATGATAGTTTTTAGAGACTCGAGGATTGTTCGATTGAACCTTTCCGCCAGGCCGTTTTGCTGGGGAGTATAGGCATCAGAGAATCGCTGCCGAATGACATTTTTAAGACAGTAATTTTCCATCTCGCTGTTGACGAATTCAGTCCCCCTGTCTGAGTGGAGGACCGAGGGATGATAGCCGAATCTCTTGGCTTCAACATCTAGAAGCCGGGTGAGAGACATGAAGACATCTCCTTTTGAGACCAAAGGGATGGCTGACACATATCGAGTGTAGCTATCGACAATAGTTAAAATGTATCGATGTTTGCAGTGGGACATGGGAGAGATGGGTCCGATAAGATCAAGGTGTAGTTCCTCGAACGGCTTAGAGGCTGATGAGGACCTTGTCTTGAAGGATGCCTTCGTGATCTTTACAACTGCACATGATTTGCATGTTTCAGGGGCTTTGATCGGTATACCAATTTTGCTTCTGATTCTGCGATAGCTGACGTGTCCTAACGACTTGTGAATCAGTTCGGCAGAGCAGAGATGAGATCGCTGAAGTTTTTCGTCAAAGTTAATGAAGGGAATATTACAGTGGTAATTTCCTTCCAGAATCAAACGATCATTTTTCATGATAGTGAAATGATTGACAAGAAAATTTATGTTGTATTGCTCTAAGAGAAGATGACGAAGAGAGAGGAGATTGGCGGTAATATTGGGCACATGAAGAACATTGTGAAGAATGAGGTTGTTGTTTCTAAAGGAAAGAGAGATGGAGCCTTTTCCTTCGATCTTCAATGTGTTAGAGCCGCAACTGGTGTTTATCAGTCCTTTTTCGCTTTCGTCTAGGTTAATGAACAGACTCCTGTCAGATACCATGTGCGATGAGGAACCGGAGTCCAAGATGAACGAGTGGGGATTATGAGAAGAGAATGTAGAGAAACTGCTAACATTCGATGCTTGAGCCTTCCTATGATTATAAGCTTCTCGCTTTTCAGGGTAAACCTTCCAACAGTGTTCTTTGGTATGTGAGGTCGCATAGGGATTGTGAGCTCCAGGTATACATCGAGGATCTTCTTTGGTAAACATGGTGGATTTGATGGATTCTGCCTTGCTGCCGGAAGCAAGCTTTTGCTCATTTAGGTGAATTTCGAGATGATCAATGAGGACTTCGGGTTTTATATCTTCACCGTCTTTAGAATGTGTGATCTTCTGCTTGATGTTGTCCAAGCTGTTTGGAAGTCGGCGGAGCAGCTCGTAGGTAAGGATGTCATCAGGCATGTCGATGCCGACATCCTCCATTCTGGATAAGGAGCTTCTCACCTCGGTGATGAACTTTTCGATGTCGCTAGGATCGAAAACTATGCTCGCAAAAGAGTTGTACACTCGTGCTCGATTGGATGGCTCGTTGGAGATGAATCTCTTGAGGATGTTCTTCCACAGGAGTTGCGCATCTTCTTCATTAGTTGAGTTAACCACGTTTTTGTGAGTAGTGGTCAAGAGTTTAGCAAGAATGACAGCACAGAGAATAGTGTTGTCGGTATCCTCAAGAGCAGGTTCACCATTGACTATTTGATCTTTTAGGCCTCCGAGTTTGAAGAGGTCCATAATTCGAGTCTTCCAGGTGGAAAAGTTTTCTTCGGTTAGGACCGGAATTGCCTCTATAGTGGTCTTCAGGATGGTTGAGTTCACGGCGTCCATCCTGACTAAGTTAGGTATCTGGTTTGGTTTTGTAAGGTATTTCGGGTAGCGAGTCTTCGACTGTTAATCGTGAAGAATTTTTGACTGAATTACTAAGAACCGAAACCAGACTGAAAACAAAGAAAAGGATTAGAGCAGGAACAAGAAAAAAGAAAGAGAAATGATAAGAAAGGAATCAGGAGCATACCACCAAGAGATAACAAGAATGTGAGAGAGAAGCAGAGGACTTTGAATAAAGACAGTTAAGATGAGCACAACTGTGCGAAAAATAAAAAAGAACAAAGAAAGATGAAACGAGAAAGAGATTAGCGATTTCAGCATCAAACAACACAGGACCAGAAGATGAGAGATTAAGGATGAAAGAACAAACAACACGTTGAGCAGACGTGATGCTAGAGAGAAGGAGAGTTTTTAGAATGAGACTTCTTAGTCGAGTCGAGAGTTAATCTTGAGGAAAAGAAAGAGAGAGATCGGATCAGGAACTGGTTCAAGTGAGTGAGTGAGACGACTGAGATTGAGACTTTACAGTTTTTTTTTTTTCTTGAATAGGATTGCGAGGGGCGGCAGTTCTAGAGACTAGATCTTGAGCAAGTTGAGGTTCGGAGAATCTTGTCGAGTCTGAGGTTTTTTCCGGACGAGCTCAAAGAGTTCTTATATGTTGAGAAGAATCAAACCTAAGCGTGTGGTGATACTCGCATTGGCTAGAGTGACTGCGGAGAGGGCTAAGCAAGAGCATTCGACAGGGTTCAGGATACGTGACAGGTCCGCTAAAACTCAACATGGGGGAATGCCATTTTTGGGGTCATTCATACCTGCTTTATGTGTATGCTTGGAGGAAAATCTCCTGGAAAGTGAGAGAATCCTTGAAAATCCCTTCCCAAAAAATGTGAAGATGATGCATTTTGGCGGGTTTTGCTCAAGATTGACCCAAAATCCATACATTTAAACCATGTCTTATGTGTACCATTTCAGGTTCCAAAACTAATTATTGATTCAAATTTTGTGCATATGATTTTGGGATTTTTCCCCCAAAATTCATAAATTTAGGTTACCCACCTACTCTAGCTCAGGGGTTTCCTGGGTCCTGACCATGCCTTCCTTGGGATAGAGGTGATCTTTTGGGCTTTTCAGTAGCCCAAATATGCTATGCTAATGGCCAATGGGCCCTTGGGTGAGCCAAATAGGCCCCCTCCCTGTAGGCTGTAAGCAGCAAGTTCCCAACCAGGCCATTTTTTTAGAAGAATTTCCAATCTTTGATGATTTGTTTTGCAGCTTCTGTGGTACAGTTTAAAATTTCTTACATCAATCAATCATTGCTCAATTATCACTTGAGACTATTTTACACTTTCTGCCCAACAATCCTGGGTAACACCAGGGACCAAGCAGCCCAAGCCCACCCCAAACCCAATTGAGGCCCAATGGCTTGAGAGGTTTTGATGTTTTGGTGGTGGTGGTGGGGGGCGGGGGATTGCCCACACTTCCCCCCATCTTCAACCATCAAATACAGCCTGCCTGTTGGATCATCAGAACTAGGCAGATCTTGCCTACCATGGAGGCTTGCTTTGTGATTTGATGAAGGTGGGGCTTGTGTTAAGCTAGATCCCACCCCCAAAGTAAGCAGGGTAGAGGAAAATTAGAGTGGGCTCATGACCCAAACCCACCCAATTCTCTATCCTGCTCTAGGTAGGGTTCCAATCCGGACCCCGCAAATCCAACAGAATCTGTGCATCCATTCCTGCAGACCAGACCAGGGTTTGGGATCTGATGAGATTGGGGGCTATCTGGGCATTACCTGCAAAAACCCAGACAGGGGTAGAGCTGCAGCATGTAGTTGATTCAAAAAATGCATCGCTTAGGAGTACACATGTAAGCAATTGGTGTGTGTATGATCTTGATGCTATAATATGCGATACAACAAACAAGAAATGAGTTTGTGATTGCTAAATTTGTTGTGTAATAATAACTACAGATCACTAATAAATATTGCATAGGAAGCAAAACTAAAGAAAAAACCTCTCTTAGAATAATAAAAAATTTTAGAGGATTTGGAAAGGAAAGAAAACAGATGAGGTGAAGTTGTGAAAGTCATCATGATCATCAGATGCCACACGACAAAAAGAAAATAAAATAAGAAAATGGGATCATGATTGATTGGGTTTGATAAGGATAAAAAAAATAAAGATAAACCAACAAAAGGAATTGAGAATTAAGTTAAAGAATAGATAGAAAGAGAAATAGTTTGCTTTGGGTTTTTTTGTTAGTTTTTTGGTTGTTAATAAAAAAGAAAACAATTGTATGAGAGGCAAAAAGGGATAAATGGGGGGGGGGGGTATAGTTATAAAAAAATAAGTTCCCAATGGTTGAACCATGGAAATAAAAGAAATGACAAAGAGAGAGAAGGAAGCAAGGAAGTTGTTGATAGATTTGAGTGTGTGTGTGTGTGTATACATATAAATAAAATGAAGAACAAATAACTGAGTTTAAATACCAATCCAAACCAAGAAGAAAACCAAATAATAAGGGTAAGGAATAAAAAGATCAAGCAGCACTAGCTGGAAGCTCGACGGGACACATAAAGTCGTTCAAGATTGTGCGTTCCTCGAACGTTCCGGCGCGACCTTTGAGCGACCACAAGACAATGATCCCGATTTGGAGCTTGGGCCGGTCTTCTTTCCCGGGCCATTTGTGGCCGCATGCTTCGTGCCATGCTGTCCACACCGGATCCTTACTCGAATTTGCCCTACAAATCGAAAAAAGACGCTTAAACATAAATATGTTGGAGTAAAAAGAAAACAAAATGGGACTGACGAGTAACGGAAATTAAGGTCGACAGAGAACGGCGTGTACTCCTTATTACTGATACTAAGAGAGTCCGAGTTCGAGCCTCTGGCGACCTCGACGGGGTTGCCGGCCGACGACAAGTCCTTGATGATGACGGTAATGATGCTCGTTTTGGGCTGAACATAGGAGCTTTTGGCGGTCATTGCCAGGTTGATTTTCCCGTTGAACTCGAACCTGACGGGTTCAAGGGTTTGGAAACTGAGTCCATTTGCGCTGTCGCCGGTAAACGTCGTCTCGTTGTTGTAGGCTACTTCCGGAACCCTTGGTACTAGGAAGTAGATCAATAGGACCGCCCTGGTACATAAGATATCCCCAACATCAGTTTTCTCTTCTTCTTCTCTCTATATGGATAAGTGAGAGGGATTAGGGGGGGGGGCCTACAGTAAGAGTGAAAAGAGCAGCAAGACGAGCGCCATGACCCTTGTGAACCAGCCCCCAAGCCGTCTTCTTCCGGCAAGGAAGTCGCGGAACTGACTATCGACGACCTGCTTCTTACTGCGGATCTTCTGTTTGCGGTCGAGCCATTTCGTCTTATCGATCAGGGTGTCCTTGCCCTCCCAATCCTTGTCGCGCTTGGACTCGTCCTTGGTCCAGTCGGAGCCGAGGGCGGGCATCTGGACCAGATCCGAGGGCGAGGGCTTGTAGGTCATCGTCGTCGGCGAGATTTGCGAATGCATCGTCGAGTGTTGTTGCGAGTCTTCGGGCGGATATCGGTACGATGGTGGCCCCCGATTCGTCGTCCCGGTCATCATGCTTCCTGCAACTCCTCCTCCTCCTCTCTTCGTCTGTTGTTGCATCGCCGTCATGTTATTCGATTGAGCACTGCTCGGGGTAGGGGGCCCTGTGTTTACATTAAGATAACGAGGAGTCGAAGCTTGATCTGTGATCGCGACGAAGCAAGAAAATGAGCTTCGGGGTTCTTTCTTTTAGTTAGGATTGTGCTTTTTTAGAGGTGGGAGTGGTGTCTTACCTTTGTAGACTTGGAACCCGAGGCCATCGTCTTCATCGCTATCGCTGTTGTTGTTGTTGTTGTTGTTATTGTTCTCCTCCTCATCATCATCATCAGAATCGGCGCCGAAAGCATGTTGTTTCTGTTCTTTGTTTCGTAGCTGTTGTTGTTGGGGTTGTTGTTGTTGGTTTCTGGATGGTGATGGTGATGGTGATGTGGATGATGATGGGATGAGTTCTTGGTGTGAGCTGGGTCTCTGGTTTTGATGGTACATCGTTTGTTAATTGGTATATCTTTGGTGAGTTGAGGTTGTTGTTGGTTGGTTTGGTGGTGATGGTCAAGAGAAGCGAGAAGAGTGTTGATGTGTTTTATAGGCAGGTTACCGATTTCAGTAAGTTAGCTAATGAGATCATCCCCAGCATTGAATATTTAACTGGCGGAGATTTCCCCCCTCAAGTGGGTGAATGCTACCCAAGGTTGTTGTCTCACTCAACCCCCAAGAAGAAAAAAAAGGAAACAAGGATGACGGATAGGAGGATAGGACTGACGACCACGAGACTACTGACAGGAGCAATCCGACGAACTGGTTCTACTAATCAACAACAACAACGACGACGACGGGGATATTCAGGACTATCATCGATCGAGGAATGTCTGGACTCATTGAAGAGGAACGACCCAGAATCAGTGTTGAGCAAACAAAGCATCCCTCTACATTCTTTTTAGTGTATCAAGACTGATTAGACTTTTTTTTTGTTTTTGGTAGATTACAACTTCCATTTTGGCCTAAAGAGTCGCAACCAGGATTCGTGGCTATCAAGAGTTTTCATGGCGAGATCAACAATATCCCGAATGCGGTCTCGAGAAGTCAGAAACCATTGATCGCCCAGATGCGCTATCAATGGTGGAGAGACGCTATCGATTCCTGTTATCTCTCTTCTTCCTCTTCTTCTCAGGTATTTAACTATCTTTTTCTCGATTTTGTTTTATTTTTTTATGTGGAGAACTGATGATTGTTGTTTCAAGACGGTTGATAATAGTCCAATCAATCAGATCCCTTCTAATCATCCTCTGATTCATCTCTTGAAACCGATCATCAAGCAACACAAATTATCTAAATATTACTTCGCCCGAATCATCAATGCTTCAGTAAGTTTAAACCCATCATCATCATCAAAAAAAGTCTATCAAACAAATCAAGTGAATTTGGGTGTGTGCGTGTGTGTATGGAATGTAGGAGACCCATTATCTAGACCGACGATTGCCGACTCTAACAGCCCTAGCAGACCATTCACGCTCGACGACATATGCGAGTCTGTCCTTACTAGCACAATTATTAACGAGTAGCAAGCAGTGGAAGGAGAACGGGACGAAGTTAGGAGGCGTCACATTAGCGACGGTCGACCACAGTCTCAGCCATCTAGCCCTCTTCCTGACCGTCGTCCGAATCCTCAAACAATTGCCCTACGATATCCGCCATCGAGGGACACATAGTGTGCCGCTCGAGCTCTTGGAATGCTCCGAAGAAACCCTCTTCAGATTCTTCAATCCCCGTCGAACGTATAACAATCATCAGTCTCTAGCGTCTTCTGATCAGAAGGATCTTCATGACGCTCAGGATTCACTCTTCAACCTGATCTTCCTCGCCTGGTCGGAACTCGTCGCGGCCAGAGAAGTCATCTCGCTCGATCTGTCTCACGTCCATTCAGACGACTTCAGGAACCATCAGAACGCTACTCTCATTCAAAAACACATCCTTTCTAGTCGTAAATCTTATCTCCCCAAAATCACCATCGACCGCACACTCATACCTCTCTTCCTCCCTGCCGTAAGCTTTGCTGTGCTTTCTCTCTCTCTTTCTTTTCTTGTCCTATTCTCAATCTATTCATTTGACTTTTGCTCACGTTTTTTTGTTTGTTTGTATCAGACTCCGGCTAGAACTCAATTAACCAAGATCTCAAACATCATTCTTAATACTCATAAAGCAAGACGACAAGAAGAACAAGGGAATCTGAAGAGTCATTTGATTGATAATGTGGCACGGAAAGCCGATTGGACGGTTCCTTTTAAGCTATGGTTCAACTTCACATTCAATAAGCTTTAGTCTCTCTTCTGTTCCCTCTTTTTTTTTCTAGAAAAAAAAATAGAATGGTTTAGTTGAAAAGTCACTCGGGGAATTTGTGATGGTCGTTGTTTATGGGTATCAGTAGAAATGAGATCTTACTAGATTTAGCCTTCCTTGAAGTTCGGACTCCAAGACTGAATATACCAAAAAAATTAAATCAACAATGATACCTTATTGTGATCCCAGAATTGCTGTGCTCCTGGTTTGAATCTGGCTCCAATACCCTCTTGTTGGGGCCTGAAATCCACTGACCATCGTTTCTGGGGGAAACCTATTTGGCAACCTTGTGCTTTGATTTGTTCTAAGTCCTGTCCATTGGGCACATCCCACTCACTGTGCTCAGCATCACATTCCATCCCCTTTGCATTCTTGTTGAATGCTGTCACGCTCTGTTCTCTCTTTCTTTCCCCTCCATTCATCCAGTGCTTCCTTCCTTCCTTCCTTCCTTCCTTCCTTCATTCATTTACCTAGCATTACTCATCTCTCTGAATTCTTCAAGATATCATCATATACATTTAGGGGCTTGGTTAAACAACTCCCAAAAAGTGGAGAGCCAACTCCCAAGCCCTGGATTGCCCACAAAGTGGGAGTTGAACCCCCAAAACCTTTGACTGGTTTGGGAGTCAACTCCCTAAAAAAATGATAGATAAAAATAAAAATCCCCAGTCTGTTTGGGAGTTGGCCTCCCAAACTGACCAGGATCTCTCCACGGGTGGGAAGCAGCTGATGGCCATTGAGGTGTGCACTCAGCAGCCGAGTTTCTCTGAGTGCACACCTCACCAGCTGAGGGTACCCTGGCCGTTGAGAGTGTACCTCAGCGGCCGGGAGGAATCCTCCCAGCTGCCGCCATGGGTCTATTGGGTCATCAACCCCCAAACCCTGGTTGGTTTGGGAGGCCATATATGAGAATAGAAATATTTCTTATGCTTTCATTCAAAGAGTGACAATTGTTTGTCACCATGAAGATGAGTGCACGATTTGAAATGATCTGGTTAGAATGTATTTGGCTCTAGCTAGAGTGGATTAGAAAGGTTATACTCAAACGTTTTGTTCTCCAAGACAAATGAGTGTATTCAGACAAAATAGTGGGGTTCACAATAGTGTTTTTTGCTTCTTGAACCCGTTATTTTTTTTTCTTGCTCACGCATGGCTGACATCAATTTTCTCAGCGAAAATGTTAAGTTCCAAGCTAAATTTTAAGCCTGCAGCAGTGCTGCGGTTTCTGGGGAGAGAAGAAATTGCTTCTTGCGAGAAGCTATCATGAACCCCCCTAATATATGTGTTGTAAAGCTTGAATTCTAATTTTTGCATTCATGCATTTATTTCTTTTCAGCAGCCTGGTACCCATTTTTTTCTCTCATCTAAATCTATTATTCTTCTGCGACTTATAGGAGCTTTCAGACTTTTTACCCCAGGAAAGAAAAAACCGCGCAATCCTTTGCTCGAAACTGTTTGCTTGAGCCGGGGATCTGTTAGCTATCTCATAGGCAATCGTGTCCTGCAAGGAGGATTCCATGATTTTCAGCATCTGTGGGATTTGTTTTGAATGGTCTTGTTCAAACTTCTCTATCTCAGCCTCCCAGGTTGTCTTAATTGATGAGAGTTTATCCAGTTCTTGACGCCGAGAGTAAATGTCGTGCGCTATCTTATTGAGGTTCTCCCGTGCTTGATCTGTTAATCTTGCGTATGGGGTTCTATCCAATCGCGAATCCTGAATTTCTAGTGGCTTGAGGTATATCGCAGACAATCTTTCGTCAAAGTCACGTAGTTGATTGGTTATGCCTGCTTTGTTGATCGGGTCTGTGTCAGAGGGGAAAAAAGGCCATATTGGTTGACAGGGAAGATAAAGATAAGAGTTAATGAGTTGAGGCCAGGTGGGGATTCAAATCTCACTAATTACCTGTGGGGTGCCCAGATTGTGGTATTTTGATTTGACTCAAAAATTTATCCATCTTTGATTTGTATCCCACACCGGGAGATTTCGGCGAGAAACGGGCTTCAATGTAGGCCTTGGTGAATAATTCCTTGTTTTCCAAACGATTGGCAAGCTGCTTGATCTTATCTGGCTGATAGACTTCTAGTGCTTTGTCAAAGTTGTACGACGGGGGGTCTGCAAATAGGCCGGGTGTGACATAGATAGACTTGGCCTCTGCGTCAAGTTGTTTCATTTGTAACTGGGCAAGTCGTTCAGTGGTGCGCGCGACGATTTCTCCCGATTTGTCTTCCGACGCGTCTAGTTTGTCAGAAAGGTTATATTGAAGCTTCTTCATTATACGCCTGACAAAATCTTCCTGCTTTCCCAGCGCTTTTAGAAAATTTGCACGAGATAGCCCTCCAGATGGATTCAGTTCTTGTCGAATGGCGTCATCAATAATGCCTTGCTTGTATAGGTTTTCGACGAATGGGCGTTCAACAACCGCATCGGGGTGAACGGCTTGGTCTCTGAAATGTCTCAGTCGTGTTACGTCTTTGTTTTCTTTGATGAACCGATCTTCGATTTCATCTAATCGTTTCGCGAACCGCCCACGATCAGATGAAGCCTCCCAAAGCTTCTGCTCGTCTTCCGCGGGCAAAGAGTCAATGAAATCGGCATGATTACCAAGGGCAGTGCGGATGTGTATTTCGTCTTCGGGCAGACCCTTGAGCTGTGCGAATACGATCGACGGAGTTGCCAACGTGCCATAGAACTGCTGGAAACAGTTTTCACGCCACTCGACGTCTTCTTTGCGGAGGCTTTTGAAGATTGACTCCAATGAAGGTTTCAACTCTAACGGTTTGATGAACGCGACAGATAATGGCTTTTCGAGTTCATCCTGAAGCAGTTTGTGCGCTGCAGTGATTACGTGTTCCAGGATGTTTTGAAATCCTTTCACTGTTGAGTACTTATGTAAAATGTTCATCCCCCAATCATCATAAGGCGTGTCTCGCAAGGCCTTTTCCACAGCGTAAATTGAATCACCACTTTCTTCAAGCGCAGCTGGTGTCTCGAGCTGGGGTATGAAAAAAGCAGCGCCCTTCTGTGACTGTAGCTGGGCGGTTCGGGCTTTTGCAAATTCCTCCAAGTTAATGCGCGGCTGTTTAGGGTGCGACTTGGGAAGTTCTTTTGAGAAGATAGTTGGGAAATAAGTTTGAGGAGCTCGATCCAGTAGATTTTGATTCAGCTGGCGCTGCCATCGCTCAAGCTGAGGTCTGATGCTTTCAATGGCATTCTGGCGAAGATGCCTACGCATGAAGTTGAACTTGTCGGGATCTTCGTTTTCTATTTCATCGGCCACCGAAGCCATGATATGCTTTTCAGCTGAAGTTAACCCCTTGGAAAGCTTAATAGATTTCCACTTGCTCTGAAGCGCTTCAAGCTCCCCGGTAACAAGATAGTAAAGTTGTAGTTTCGCTAAGTAATCTTCATACTCTGATGGCTTGGATACCGCCTGTTCTGTGGGCTTGTAGCGGTTCACGGGTGGGAACAACTTTTTATCGAACCGTTTAGCCAAGTTCGTCACATCTAATAGCTCTTTGTCATTCAACCTCAAATATCTTATTGCAAGGGCTCTAGACATCTGATCTTTCATTTGGCCTGACGAAAATAAAAGTGATCAATATACTTGGTTGAAGGAAAATTGTGGGTGGGCCATACTGCTGGAGGCTAGTGGACTTACGATATCTTTGTAAGTCTTTCGGGGTTGCATGGCGAAGGAATTTCATTCTCTTCAGTAATTAGAAATGTAATCAGTAAGGGTCAAAACTGTTTACAATGTGGATGGGATCGCTTACAATTTTGTAGATTTGGTAATTAACCCAAGTCAAGCTAATGCGATTCGGCATGTCAATCTATCAGCCAGAAAATCAATCCTGCGGAAACATCATCAAACAGTAGCTTACGTCTCAAAGAAGTTTTCTTTTATCTTTGCGGGGTACTTCGCCAGCTTTAATTTGATCTTGGAGAACTTTTGGAGTTGAATAGTATGAGTTTTTTACTCGAGTGGTTTCCAGGATCTTGACATTCAAAGTTAAAGTACACGTACGCCTTTCGTTTTTGGGTTTGTTGCTTCTTCGCCTGACATGGCGGCTTGTGGGGGAGCTCTAAATGAAGCGGGACGTGTTGCGGGAGGTGCATCGCGAACCCGAGGTGGCGAATAGCCAGTGTGAGAAATTATGTTGACGGGCGAATCGTTTACTCCAGACGTTGGTTCTCGGGCTTTTGATAATGACTCCGCCCCTACCGCTTTAGCATCCGAGCCGAATTCGCTTACACGGGCGGGATTGCTACTAACCACGATGCCGCGAGGTTCAAGATTGGCTGCAGAGGCTGACTTGTTAGCCGTAAGAAAATAAACCAATTGTAAAACTGTCAGTGATGACTTGAAAACTCGCATCTTTAGAGTACTTGCAACGAAAGGCCGGGGAACGGAATTGTGCAGCGTACGCGCTTGCTGGCCAGTGCCGGACGGGGGAACCTTAAGGCTACATATAAACGAGCTCATCTGCCACCCATCACCGCGAGTCTGCACAATCGCCGTCCTCGCCCCAAGCGCATGAGAAACAGGGAGATTCCATGTATTCGCATCGGTTTTCCTACCCATGTGTATTGCGAAGATGTGGCCATATGTCCCAAGAATCCGGAAGCGGATGAGACAGTGTTAGAAACTGTATCGATGACAGACCCAAGTGAGACCCTTACTACTTACCTGGATCTACATTCAATTAACGTGGTTCTCGCTAACTTAGCTAAGTCCCCCTTCGTCGCGAAGCGACCCTCCGAAGGAGGGACTTATGGGCTAAGTCGCCCCCAACGCCCATGAGGATTAGGCAGTTGGCTGGGGGAAATTTTAAAATTCCACCCACTCACTCATTCATGAACATTTTCCCCCTGGGTTTGACCGGCATGGAGGCGGCACTGATGCACATCTGCTCATACTTACCGCTTCCCTTCACCCCTCATGGTTGGAGCTCTCTGCTTCAATTTTTGTTTTGGTCACTCTGGAATATGTGTTATGACATCGGCTCATAGTCCTGAGTCTTCCATGCAAGCGAACTGTATCAGTCAAAGTACATATCAACAGACCTGTTATTATGGGACAAGCAGCAGAATTCTCCTCTGTATTCTATTGAGTTGCTGTTGTGTGTGACCTGTGGCAGTCCATACAGGATGGCCATGAAAAAGAAAAACATTGGACACAAAACTAAAGGTTTGGCTGAAAATTCCCCCTGGACCTCTACGACCTGGTGAAGGGCTCGGTTTGATTCTCACAGATGTGCCGCTTCTTTTGGTGGGCGACTTGCTAGGAATTGGGTGCGTCAAGACGCCTGTGGAGACCTTTGAAAAAAAAGCGACTTTTTCCAAGTCCTCATAGGCCAGCAGGGCGACATAGCACATAAGTCCCTCCTTTCGGAGGGTCCCTGCGGGACAGCGTCCCCCCTCCGAATAGAGAGGGACTTAGTTAAGTTAGTGGTTCTCGCCACTCTCCCTCTGTCAGAGAAGGTCGCGGATGTGAAGGCGAAGCCAAACCGGGCACAGGCCCCAGTTTCAGTAGGCTCCGAGATTGCCGCCGAAGGAGGCCAAGTTATGATGGTTGAAGATAGATGAACAGCTTGCTAAACCCATTGCAGAAATTTAGTGAACAATATTTGGTTACAATTCAGATGCAAAGCTTACAGTGCTACCTTCTACAACTATGTTTTGAAACCATGCCAAAATCTTGAAGCTGTGGATTGGAGCAAGATTAGTGGCCTGTGTGGAGAAATCTACTTCGGGCTTGTCATAAGCCCCTATTCATGATGAAAATATTCCTTTTGGCCACTAGCAAGAAGAAAGGTACAAAAAGAGACATCCAAATGGAGTAACAAGCTGTTTCAAAAGATTATTTCTACTTTGGGTCAAAATTCTGCAAAAAAATTCTCTGTTGAACAAAATGTTAGATCAATGTATATTGAGTCAATTCAATATTGAAGATAACTTCATAATTAGCATGGAAAACTTGACAGATGAAGATGCAAAAATGTAATTTTCATTATTTGAAATCAAGTAAATTTGAGTTCCAACATTTCAAAGCAGTTCTTGGGACTTCATCAGGGTGCAATTTTGTAATTGAATTCCAAAACTCATCCAAAACTTACCACGTTTGCTTTACTCAGAAATCAAATATTATTATTTTTGATTCTTTTTGTCTTCACTAAAACAGGAATCGCAAAAAAGGGTTCATAAATTAACAAAGGATATGAGAGTAGAAATATTTCCCATGCTTTCATTAAAAATGGTTCAATAAGCGCAATTAAATCCAAAAACGAATGTAGTGATAATGAGTGACAATAGGTTAACACCATGAGGATGAGCGCACAATGTGAAATAATCTGGTCAGAAGGTATTTGGCTCCAGCTAGAGTGGATTAAAAAGATTAAATATTTTGTTCCACAAGACAAATGAGTGTATACGGAAAAAATATATGTGTTGGAGAGCGTGGATCCTAGTTTTGGCATCCAAGCATTTATTTCTTTTTAGCAACCTGGTACACAGTTTTTGTTTTTTCATCTAAATCTATTATTCTTCCGCGACTTCTTATAGGAGGTTTCAGATTTTTTACCCCAGGAAAGGAAAAATCGAGCAAGCCTTTGACTTAAACTGTTTGCTTGAGCTGAGGATCTGCTGGCTATCTCATATGCATTGGTGTCGTGCAAGGAAGATTCCATTATTTTGAGCATCTGTGGGATTTGTAGTAGATGCTCTTGTTCGAATTTCTCTATCTCAGCCTCCCAGGTTGTCTTAATTGATAAGAGTTTATCCAGTTCTTGACGCCGAGAGTAAATGTCGTGCGCTATCTTATTGAGGTTCTCCCGTGCATGATCTGTCAATCTTGCGTAAGGGGTTCTATCCAATCGCGAATCCCGAATTTCTAGCGGCTTCAGGTATATCGCAGACAATCTTTCGTCAAAGTCACGTAGTTGATTGGTTATGCCTTCTTTGTTGATTGGGTCTGTGTCAGAGAGAAAAAAAAGGCCACGTTGATTGAGAGGGAAGATAAAGATAAGGGTTAATAAGAAGAGGCCGGGCGGAGCTGCTTTTGTGGATTTAAATCTCACTACTTACCCATGAGGTGCCCAGATTGTGGTATTTTGATTTGACTTAAAAATTCATCCATCTTTGATTTGTATCCCACGACGGGAGATTTCGGCGAGAAAAGGGCTTCAATGTAGGCCTTGGTGAACAATTCCTTGTTTTCCAAACGATTGGCGAGCTTCTTGATGTTATCTGGCTGATAGACTTCTAGTGCTTTGTCAAAGTTGTACGAAGGGGGGTCTGCAAATAGGCCGGGTGTGACATAGATGGACTTGGCCTCTGCGTTAAGCTGTTTTATTTGGAATTGTGCAAGTCGTTCAGTGGTGCGCACGGCAATTTCTCCAGATTTGCCTTCCGACGCGTCTAGTTTGTCAGAAAGGTTATATTGAAGCTTCTTCATTATACGCCTGACAAAATCTTCCTGCTTTCCCAGAGCTTTTAGAAAATTTGCACGAGATAGCCCCCCAGATGGATTCAGTTCTTGTCGAATGGCGTCATCAATAATGCCTTGTTGGTATAGGTTTTCGACAAATGGGCGTTCAACAACCGCGTCGGGGTGAACGGCTTGGTCTCTGAAATCTTTCAATCGTGTCAAGTCTTTGTTTTCTTTGATGAACCGGCGCTCAATTTCATCTAGCCGTTTCGCGAACCGTCCAAGATCAGATGAAGCCTCCCAGAGTTCATGCTCGTCCTTCGCGGGCAAGGAGTCAATGAAATCGGCATGATTACCAAGGGCAGTGCGGATGTGTATTTCGTCTTCGGGAAGACCCTTGAGCTGTGCAAATACGATTGGTGGAGTTGCCAACGTGCCATAAAACTTCTGGAAGAAGTCTTCACGCCACTCGACGTCTTCTTTGCTGAGACTTTTGAAGATTGACTCCAACGAAGGTTTCAACTCTAACGGTTTGGTGAACGCGACAAGGACTGGCTTTTCGAGCTCGTTCAGAAGAAGTTTGTGCGTGGCGGTGATGACGTGTTGTAGGATGTTTTGGAATCCTTTCACTGTTGAGTAGTTATATAGAACATTCATCAACCCACCATCAGAAGGCGTATTTCGCAAAGCCTTCCCCACCGCGAAAATTGAATCGCCACTTTCTTCAAGGGCAACTGGTGTGTTGAGCTCAGGTATTAAAGAAGCGGCGCCTTCCAGTGATTGTAGCTGAGCGGTTCGAGCTTTTGAGAATTCCTCCAAGTCGAGACGCGGCCGGTTAACGTGCGGCTTGGAAAGCTCTTCTGAGAAGATAGTTGGGAAATAGGGATTGCAGATCTCGATTCAGTAAATTTTGATTCAGCTGGCGCTGCCATCGTTCTAGCTGAGGTGTGATGCTCTCAATGACATTCCGGCGAAGCTGAGTGCGCATGAAGGTGTACAAGACGGGATTTCTTTCTCCTATTTCCTCAGCCGCCGAAGCCATGACATACTCTTCAGCTGAAGTTAACCCCTTGGAAAGCTTGATAGATTCCCACTTGCTCTGTAGAGCTTCAAGCTGCCCGGTAATAAGATAGTGAAGTCTTAGTTTTGCTAAGTAATCTTCATACTCTGATGGCTTGGATACCGCCTGTTCTGTGGGCTTGTAGCGATTCACGGGTGGAGACAATTTTTTGTCGAACCGTTTAGCCAAGTTGGTCACATCCAATAACTCCTTGTCATTCAACTTCAAATATCTTGTTGCAAGGGCTCTAGAAATCTGATCTTTCATTTCGCCTGACAAAAGTAAAAGTGATCAATTTGAAGAAAAATTCTGAGTGAGTCATACTACGGGAGGCTAGGGGACTTACGATATTTTTTCAAGTCTTTTGGGGTTGCAGGGCGAAGGAATTTCATTCTCTTCAGTAATTAGAAATGTCATCAGCACGGGTCAAAACTGTTTCGAGGTGCATGGGATCGCTTACAATTTTGTAGATTTGGTAATTAACCCATGTAAACCTAATCCGTTTGGGGAGGACACTGTCTTAGCTAAAAAATAAATCACGCGGAGACATCATCAAACAGTAGCTTACGCTTCGAAGAAGTTTTCTTTTATCTTCGCGGGGTATTTTGCCAGCTTCAATTTTATTTTGGAGAACTTTTAGAGTCGAATAATGTGAGTTTTTTACTCGGTAGTTTTGTAGTAGCTTGGGGCACATGGTTGAAGTAAACTTACGCCTTTCAGATTTGGTTTTGGTGCTTCTTCACCAGACATAGCGGCTTGTGGGGGAGGTTTGAATGAAGCGGAACGCATTGGCCTGGGTGGTGCATGCCGCGGAGGCAGATGACCCTCGTACGAGATTATGTTCAATGACTTCGGGGCCGCATGAGTGACGGGCGAAGTGTTCAATCCAGACGTTGTTTCTCGAGCTTTTGATAATGACCCTGCTTCTATCGCTTTAGCCTCCGAGCCGAATTCACTTACACGGGCGGTGTTGCTACTAATCAGGATGCTGCGAGGTTGAAGATTTGTCGCAGAGGCCGATTGGTTAGTCGTAAGAAAGTAAATCAGTCGAATAATTGTCAGCGCTGATTTGAGAACCCGCATTGTAGTATTTCTAATGAAAGGGGGAACGGAGATGTCCAACTTCCGGGGATCCAGGGCAGTGCCGGACCGGCGAACCTGAAGGCTATAAACGAGCTCATTTGCCACTTCCAAACCGCATGAGACATGTGTATTGGGAAGATGTGGCCATTCACAAGAATCCGGAAGGGGATGAAACATTGTCATAATCTGTATCAATGACAGACCCAAGTGAGACCATTACATATTTTACTTGGATCTACTCAATCAACGTGGTGCGCGCAGCCGAACCTGGCATAGGCCCCAGTCTCAGTAGGCTCCGAGATTGCCGCCGAAGGAGGCCGACATCGGGCTGTGCGCGTAAAGACTCTGGCAGACTGGCCACTCAAAAACATGTGAAAACATCATTGGCTACTCTTTAATATGTGACCCTTCTGTTTTTTGTTTGAGAGTGGCGCAAAGTTAACTTGAACAGTCTACAAAGAGGTCAAGAGTTGACTAATGACTTCTTCAAAAAAGTAAGGAATATATGCGATATCCATATATGTCGTGTACTATGTACGCTTAGGTACCTGAAACCCAACGAGTCAAACTTCAAACCGTTGATTGGGGGCACAAACAATTATGGCTGATGCAGGATTCGCGGATAGAGATAAACACCACATCAATTAACGATTGAGTAGTGGAACAAAACCAGAAAGTCTAGAAAGTGGTGTGCATCTTCGCCTAGCAAATTCGAGCTCTCCGAATGGTACTCAACTTGAGCGCTGTCATGGTTGGGTATGAGATGGTCATGATCCAATCCCGCGCCGGCTGATAAAGTGAAATTTACGGGATACATGTTTAGACAAAAACCGGCTTAACACTAGACACGATTTCCCAAATATCTGAGTATGTAGGTACATGTAAATGTGCTTTGATCGAGTCTTGAGGGACACTTCGCTATGCATGTGAGCTACTCTACATGGCTGCTACCCTCACTTCCGCGTGATCTTCGAGCCAGTTCATCCAATTCTACAAAGACCAACATCATTGCATGAGTCAAAGAAAAAAAAAAGAAAATCCCCCGTTGGAAAGTACGTAGCATGAATTGATCAAGGCAAGATGAGACAAGTAGAAAGGTGTTCTGCTCACTTTAAGAAAATCGCCGCCTTTGGACAACGTATCCGAATCTCCTATCACTGTCAAATGTCGCTTAGCACGTGTCATGGCAACTTGATGAGATCGAAAAAAAAAAAAACAGAAAGCCGGTAAGGACAAGTTTTTATAAGGAAAATGTAATCCGAGATGGATGCCTGATGTGAAAAAAAGAAAGGAGGGAAGTGAATGCAAGAAAGATTTTCTGACCATTCAATCGACGTCTCTCGCTCAGAAATCCGACAACACCTTCAGCGTTACTTCTGCATAGAGAGATGATGACCACTTCGTTCTCACGGCCTGATATTCCACGAAATCACAAACAAGAGAGGTCAACCCAATTGGGCAATTTGAGTCCAAAAGATCGGGAAGGATACAAGTGAGCTCACCCTTGACACGAGTCAATCGACCCAATGGCTAACGCTGGATACTGTGTCTTCAAGAGAGAGTTCAACAGGGAAACTTGTGCGGCATCTTTCATGCGAAAATCATTTTATCAGCTATTCGGAAACTTTTCAAGAAGATCTAACTTCTTTTATGCCGAACTCACAAGGTGAAATGACCATGATCTGGGTTGGAAGTACACCGGATTCAATCTGACAATGTGTTGGATTTTCTTCAAAAATCAATGGCCCGTCTGATCATCCTAAATTAAGTGAAGATGATGAGGAGTTTTGTTTCAAGGCTTACCAATGCATTGACACGTTGGACCACTAATTCAGCCTCGTTTTCATTCAACAAGCTTCCTTCTCCACCTTCATCCGCAGCTCTATCAAACATAAAACTTCCAGCAGCTAATCCAAAAAAGGGGGTCAAGAAGATTGTCAAAAATCTGATCCCCGGATGTGTTTCTTCTCCTGCCAATGTGTGAGATGCGTGCGTACTATCAATCAGCAAAACTGGATCGGCGATACCATCGGTTTCCTCGCGAGTCACATTAGGTAAATCCTTGAGCAAATGGGTGGCTACTGAATCTGCTGCTGTGAGCTTGGATTCGTAAAGTTCATCCGACGGAAATTTCATGATCATCTCATGCATTCTCTGAATCCCCAAAACATACACATATCCACGGAGAGAGGGATTTTGAACATCCATCATCAGCGTTTGGTGATTTTGATATCGAAAGATGAGGGGGGGTTGAAAG